TTGTAAAGGTTTTTTAAAAAACCTATCAAATTTGCAATAATTTTCTGTGATTGCACAAAAATAAAAACAAATTGTTATGCAAATTATTAAATATAAAAAATAAAATTGGAACCATTAGCTAAAGATGTTGTGATTAGTTCCTTATCGGGCAGCTATTAAAATTCGAATGAAAGGAATTTTTTCCCAGGGAAATGAAATTTTACGAAACGTGCCGACCGTTACATCCAATTGTTTTCCACGTTTTCTCAGCCGATAAATGCGGCCCAGAGACCTTGACAATGAAATTCTCGGAGATCATGGAGAACTATAGAAAAAAAAACAAAAAAAATACAATTAAATAATAAATGGGAATGAACAGATGAGATATACTATGTAGAGTGGGGCAGATAGTAAAAGGTGCTCTGTAGTACGTGATTATGAATCACAGTCGAAAATGAAGCCAACGACTTGCCAGAAAATAACAAAAATAACCAACAAGTACGATTTCATTGTTGGTTTTTTCTCGCCATGGCTTGCAATTTCCGTCTAGAAAGACCTCTCGTTAACCTCTGCTCTCTCTCTCTCTCTGTTTGACCCTTCAGTGACCGAGGACGGCAAGAAGGTGAAGCCCTCGCGGAGTACGGTGGAGTGCACCAAGAGCTGGCTGCAGGAGTGCAGCAGAAGGACCTTCAACCGCAAGACCCTGCACAAAAAACTGCCCATTCTTGGGTGGCTGCCGCGATACAGCAGCCAGGATGCAGTCGGAGATCTGGTGGCGGGCATAACCGTGGGTCTGACGGTGATTCCCCAGGCACTGGCCTATGCGGGTATAGCAGGACTCCCAGTAGCCGTGAGTAATCTTTGACGGAACTTTCTTTAAGAATGATCTAATCCCTGTTTATTTGCCTTCTTAGTACGGTCTGTATGCCTCCTTCTTGGGATGCTTTGTGTACATATTTCTGGGCAGCTGTAAGGATGTGCCAATGGGTCCCTCGGCCATTGTAGCCTTGCTGACCTTCCAGGTGGCCCAGGGATCGTGGCAAAAGTCGGTGCTGCTGTGTCTGCTGTCGGGGATTGTGGAGCTGCTGATGGGACTCTTTGGGCTGGGCTTCCTCATTGACTTTGTCTCGGGCCCGGTCTCGTCCGGCTTCACCTCCGCCGTCTCCCTCATCATTCTCACCTCCCAGATCCAAAGTGTGCTGGGCATCACGGCCAAGGGCAACACGTTCGTGGAGATCTGGACGCAGGTCTTCCACAACATTGAGCACACACGAGCCGGCGACACAGTCTTGGGACTCACCTGCATTGTGGTCCTGCTCCTGATGCGCTCCCTCTCCTCCTGCCGCATCGGACCCGACGATGAGGAGCAGTGCTCCTCCTTGCAGAGGGTTGTGAACAAAGTACTCTGGATTGTGGGCACAGCCCGCAATGCCATTCTGGTGGTAGTCTGCTGCCTGATGGGCTACCTTCTGCACAGTGAGGAGCACGGTGCTCCATTCCGGGTGGTCGGCGACATTCCGCCCGGCCTGCCCAGCGTACAGTGGCCTCCCACCTCGCTGAGCGCCAACGAGACAAGCCATGGCGCTGCCGAGAGCTTCGTGGAGATGATACACAGCATGGGCTCCGGCCTGATTGTGATCCCCCTGATCTCGCTGATGGAGAACATTGCCATCTGCAAGGCCTTCGGTAAGTGATCCGCACTTTCTAACGTCCTGGGCTCTTTTTTAATGCAAACTCTTTCAGCCAATGGCAAGTCGGTGGATGCTTCCCAGGAGCTGATTGCCATAGGTACGGCCAACATCTTCAACTCCTTTGTCCAGGGCTTTCCGGGAACCGGAGCTCTGAGTCGTGGGGCTGTCAACAATGCCAGCGGCGTCCGCACCCCACTCAGCAATATATATTCTGGCGGTCTGGTGATGATTGCTCTGCTCTTCCTCACTCCGTACTTTTACTTCATACCGCGTCCCACACTAGCTGCCATCATCATAGCGGCAGTGGTGTTCATGATCGAAGTCAAGGTGGTTAAGCCCATGTGGCGATCGAAGAGTAAGTACATGGGAAGATTAAAGAAGATTAAACGTCTAATGTAACATGGAAATTTTTGCAGAAAGCGATCTGGTGCCCGGTGTGGGCACTTTCGTTGCCTGTCTGGTGCTGCCACTGGAATGGGGCATTCTCATCGGCGTCGGCCTGAATGTCATCTTCATACTGTATCATGCGGCGCGTCCTAAACTCTCCACAGAGCTGCTGTCCACACAATCTGGCATGGACTACATGATGATCACGCCGGATCGATGCCTGATCTTTCCGTCCGTGGACTATGTCAGGAATCTGGTCAACAAACAGTCCATGCGGCAGAATGTGCCCGTCGTCATCGATGCCTCGCACGTCTATGGGGCCGACTTTACCACAGCGACAGTCATCGACTCCCTGATCAGCGACTTCAATCAGCGGGGACAGCTGCTCTTCTTCTACAACCTGAAGCCGAGCATTTGCGCCATCTTCGAGCAAGTGTCCGCGGCGCAATTCGTTGTCTATTACCAGGAGCAGCAGCTGGACGAGCTGCTCAAGGAGCGGAACTACACACAGAAGCGCTCGGAGACGGCCTGAGCTCGCAAATACGTGATACATTTAAATTAGTTCAAATTACTAGCGTAGTTATTTATGGTATTGTAAATAGTTCATACGAAACTTTCTTTAGTATTAGCCAAAGCACAAACACTATTAGAAATTGTAAGTCAACCAAATAGTTACTGTAATTAACTTTACCTTTAGATTCAGTTTTGAATGAATTAAACGATCAAATTAATTATTAATTTTGAATTTGAAGACATTACAAAATTTTAATTGTCCCAGAAAGTCCCTTTTCTGTTGGTTAGTGCTAGAACTCCGTTGAGAGTACCCTTTTGAAATCGTTTTTCGTTTGTATTTTTTGAAACTATTAAAATTTAATCATCTGGTAAGACTGCCAGGAACTCTAAATAACATCCAAAACCTTTACATATGTAACTTCTTTACGAGTGACAATTGTTCAGTCTATTGTTGGCCAAACGCAGAGATCGACGACGATAAACTTGAGACTGTGGAGACTGTGTGTGAGCCATCAGATCTTCTGGTTTCGGGCGCTGTTGTGATTGCCAAACGCTCATCCTTTGTTTATATTGGATCATAGCCACGGACGCATATACATGCCACAAAGACTTGTCGTACTCGCACATCTTCTTCCATAGACTACTAGATTTTCTGGCCACCTGCTTGAAGCTGTATTTGGGATGTTGGTTCTTGATGTTGCTACGGCCTGAACTGTTCATCCACATTATATATGCGTTTACTGGTCGTTTGAGACATCGAGACCTCTCCATTCTTTAACAAAATATACGAAATCAAGAATACAAAAAGTAAATTTTGTTTACAACAATACAATATGTAGGTGTATTGGTTTTTAGCTTCAGTTTTTTGTTGGTCGTGTGTTCCCTACGAATGTACGATGTAAAGTTTTCGGAAAACTATAGACACAGCCTACTGCGAAGAAAAGAAAATTATCTACTTTGAAGGTATTTCCAACAAACTTCTTATGTTGTTTGTGGGTTTTGAACAATTATAATTAAAATCTGATGACTATATACACCTAACAGAGCTGCTTTATGAAGAATGGATGTGTAATTCTAGTGTATTTCAATAGTACGAAATATTAATCCTCCCAGATAATCGTAGATCACATCCGTTACATCCGTCATATGTAATGTGGATGAACGTACAAGGACGTCATCGAATAAAGATGGAGCATCCCAATTACAACGTCCCCCAAGTGGGAAAACGTGCGGGCGAGATCTGGAGGATGATGGACGAGATGGAGAAAGAGAATTGGAAATTGCAAGCTTCTATTGCTATGAACATGTATAAGAAGGATTTCGCCATCTGGAAATGCCTAAGAATCAAGCAGCGTCGTTAAGCATAAAATTAGCCAAAGTCCACTATCAAAATTCCTAGTTTCAATTAAAACCAAAAGTAAATTCCTTGAAGGATTTAAATGTTACATATTTTGGATATTACTAAAGAAACCAAGCACAAATTCAGAACATAGTATATCCTCAGTACAACACACAGCATAGAAACAAAGTTCAAAAGTCGCTAGCTCTAAGGCAAGGGGAAGAAATTGAGGAGATAAAAGCACGTATTACGCTTCTATAGTCATCCGACTTGGATTACATTTATTATTCAGGAGCGGGAGCTATTAAGTATGTTGTTTGGCTACAATTGGCCCTTGGATGGTATTGGATGGTATACCACCATTCAGGCTTGATTCAAATTGATATTCAAACGTAACGGATGTGGTAATAAGGCGACACCTGTCGACTTTGTTTGGTAAGCTGCCAGAGTTACCACTCACAAACAGTTAATCGATTGTTTGGCGCGCATTTCGATTTCTGTACAGTCAAGGCCCCGCCATGTTTTAATTTACATGAGGGTACAGAAACTTCTATAAGCTTTCATCCTTAACTTTGTCTCCACCATCCGGGTATGGGGGCAGAGGTAATATTCCACGGAATATCAAAAACGAGGAATATGTATAGTAGAACTTGTGTTCGTCAGTATATTTACGGTGTATTTTTAGAATGTGACGGTATATTTAGTTATATTCCTGAGGTATATGTTATCGATAAGTCCGCGGTCACACTGATCACTAATTTTTTCAACTTTTGAACTTTTTCGTTTAAACCTTTTTTTTCGCAAAAGGCAATAAAAGCAAGTATAACGAATACACGAGTAAATTAGAAAATTTATTCATCAATCGTATCAAATTATGTGGGCAGGGCTAAATGTTTCATATAGCTAGTAATATTGCACGGAAGATAAAAATCGTGGAATATGTGAAATAGAACTTGAGTTGGTCAGTATATTTACGGTATATTTTTAGAATGTGACAGTATATTTAGTCATATTCCTGAGGTATATGTTATCGATAACATAACCGCGGTCACACTTTTTTCCAACGCCGACGCTTGTGTGAGTGAGCTGTGAATTTTTCGTGTAAATAAATATAAGTGGAGCATATTAAACGTTAAAAATAGTCGAAATGGGCGGCCATAACGATAATCAGAACGGAAACTCCAACGGCCACGATGATGTAAGTAGATATTTGCAGGAGTTGAGATTTTTCAGTGCGTGTCTCGGCGGACGCCATTTTGAAAATTACGCATGTGCCTCCAAGCGAGGGAGAGAGGTTATGTCTGACCGTGAAAAAATCAATAATTTGCCTATGTTCCTAGGATATTACTGAGCCGGAGCATATGCGTAAACTGTTCATTGGTGGTCTGGACTACCGCACCACTGATGATAACTTGAAGGCGCATTTCGAGAAATGGGGACAAATTGTCGATGTGGTGGTCATGAAGGATCCACGTACCAAGCGGTCGCGTGGTTTTGGGTTCATCACTTATTCGCACTCGACCATGATTGACGAGGCCCAGAAGGCCCGTCCGCACAAGATTGACGGACGTGTTGTCGAGCCCAAGCGTGCCGTGCCACGTCAGGATATTGATTCGCCCAATGCCGGGGCCACCGTCAAGAAGCTGTTTGTCGGCGCCCTCAAGGACGACCATGATGAGCAGAGTCTGCGCGACTACTTCCAGCACTTTGGCAGCATTGTGGACATCAATATTGTCATGGACAAGGAGACTGGGAAGAAGCGTGGCTTTGCCTTCGTTGAATTCGATGACTACGATCCCGTGGACAAAGTTGTGTGTAAGTAGAAAGGCATCTTTTCATTCTCTATACTAAGCAGCCGGCACACCCGGAAAATTTTCAATGTAAGGGCTGTTAACCATCCACCCTGTATGTGAAGTTGATACACAACAGCCTCAAGCTAGAACAATCCACCCTCATCGTTACAATATCATCATCATTCCATATTCTTCACAGTCCCAGCTCCGCATAGCAATGTTCGATGTGTCTGTGCGGCGTTTCATGACTGTAAAATGAAAACCCAGCCCGTATTATATCATTGTTGCTGGTGCTTCCATGCATCAGCGATGAAAGAGTATTTGGCACACTATACCTACCACATACACTGTAAATGACCCTTTGAACCGCCATAACCACCCTTCAAGGGTACACAGTACTGACAAACTGTCTGGCTTGATCCCCACGCCTGAACAGTTTCTTTTTAAACGCTGTGAGACGAATGATAGCGTCGGCTAAGCTATGTTATGCGAATGTAAATCAAACACTATTCAGTGTAACACGCAGCCTCGTTACACTCATATAAATCGATCTCCATAAGGTACTTGATGTCCAATCCATTCAATACACAGTCCCAGCTCCGCATAGCAATGTTCGATGTGTCTGTGCGGCGTTTCATGACTGTAAAATGAAAACCCAGTCAGTATTATATCATTGTTGCTGATGTTTTCGTGCATCAGCGATGAAAGAGTATTTGGCACACTCCCTACGAAATTACATCTGTGTTTACTAGACACCCTGTAAGTCTACAACCTCGAGAACCATCCCTTTTTTGACCTGCACAGTACTGACAAACTATCTGGCTTGATCCCCACGCCTGAACAGTTTCCTTTTAAACGCTGTGAGACGAATGATAGCGTCGGCTAAGCTATGTTATGCGAATGTAAACCAAATCACTATTCAGTGTAACACGCAGCCTCGTTACACTCATATAAATCGATCTCCATAAGGTACTTGATGTCCAATCCATTCAATACACAGTCCCAGCTCCGCATAGCAATGTTCGATGTGTCTGTGCGGCGTTTCATGACTGTGAAATGAAAGCCCAGCCCGTATTATATCATTGTTGCTGGTGCTTCCATGCATCAGCGATGAAAGAGTATTTGGCACACTATACCTACCACATACACTGTAAATGACCCTTTGAACCGCCATAACCACCCTTCAAGGGTACACAGTACTGACAAACTGTCTGGCTTGATCCCCACGCCTGAACAGTTTCTTTTTAAACGCTGTGAGACGAATGATAGCGTCGGCTAAGCTATGTTATGCGAATGTAAATCAAACACTATTCAGTGTAACACGCAGCCTCGTTACACTCATATAAATCGATCTCCATAAGGTACTTGATGTCCAATCCATTCAATACACAGTCCCAGCTCCGCATAGCAATGTTCGATGTGTCTGTGCGGCGTTTCATGACTGTAAAATGAAAACCCAGTCAGTATTATATCATTGTTGCTGATGTTTTCGTGCATCAGCGATGAAAGAGTATTTGGCACACTCCCTACGAAATTACATCTGTGTTTACTAGACACCCTGTAAGTCTACAACCTCGAGAACCATCCCTTTTTTGACCTGCACAGTACTGACAAACTATCTGGCTTGATCCCCACGCCTGAACAGTTTCCTTTTAAACGCTGTGAGACGAATGATAGCGTCGGCTAAGCTATGTTATGCGAATGTAAACCAAATCACTATTCAGTGTAACACGCAGCCTCGTTACACTCATATAAATCGATCTCCATAAGGTACTTGATGTCCAATCCATTCAATACACAGTCCCAGCTCCGCATAGCAATGTTCGATGTGTCTGTGCGGCGTTTCATGACTGTGAAATGAAAGCCCAGCCCGTATTATATCATTGTTGCTGGTGCTTCCATGCATCAGCGATGAAAGAGTATTTGGCACACTATACCTACCACATACACTGTAAATGACCCTTTGAACCGCCATAACCACCCTTCAAGGGTACACAGTACTGACAAACTATCTGGCTTGATCCCCACGCCTGAATAGTTTCTTTTTAAACGCTGTGAGACGAATGATAGCGTCGGCTAAGCTATGTTATGCGAATGTAAATCAAACACTATTCAGTGTAACACGCAGCCTCGTTACACTCATATAAATCGATCTCCATAAGGTACTTGATGTCCAATCCATTCAATACACAGTCCCAGCTCCGCATAGCAATGTTCGATGTGTCTGTGCGGCGTTTCATGACTGTAAAATGAAAACCCAGCCAGTATTATATCATTGTTGCTGGTGCTTGCGTGCATCAGCGATGAAAGAGTATTTGGCACACTCCTTCCCAGTTCTCGAATGGAGGATTGATTGCCTAATCAATTGCTAATCAAATACTAATTGGGGTTCACTCTCACTCGACTATTTACAGTGCAAAAGCAACATCAGCTGAATGGCAAAATGGTGGACGTGAAGAAGGCCCTGCCCAAGCAGAACGAGATGGGAGGCGGCGGCGGCGGCGGTGGTGGGGGTCGCGGTCAGGGCGGTCGTGGGGGCGGAAGCCGTGGATCCAACATGGGCGGCGGTGGCGGCAGCTACGGCAATCAGAATGGCGGCGGTAATTGGGTAAGTGATTCGATTAAATCCACTTTCTAATTGCATTATAAATTGACTGACGTATGGATATTTTCTGCAGAATGGAGGCGGTAATTGGGGTGGTAACCGTGGGGGCAATGATAACTGGGGCGGCAACAACAACTTTGGCGGCGGCGGCTATGGAGGCGGCGGCAACAGCGGCTGGGGAGGCAACAACATGGGTCCCTGGGACAATGGCAATGGGGGCAGCAGCTACGGTGGCGGCGGCTCCAATTGGGGCAACGGCGGTGGGGGCAACGATTTCGGCGGCTACCAACAGAGCTACAGCGGCGGTCCCCAGCGCGGCGGCAACTTCAACAACAACCGCATGCAGCCCTACCAAGGAGGCGGAAACTTCGGCAACAAAGCAGGTGAGAGAAATCGTACCGAATGAATCATGTTAAAACAAATAGACGCACTTGAGAGATTACCACACAATACCCTGACACCTAACTGTTAGAACATCGATAGAGTTTGGCAGTTAGCTTTAAGAAAAACAAAAAAATAAACACTGTACTGTGAGATAAACGGACGTTGGCCTTCGCTGTGTGATGCGAGTGGAGCCTCGTTACTGTTTTAGTTGTATTTCGTGTAGTCCGTCTGGCGGATGAGATGATCAGCAAAGTAATTAGTGGAGAATGCTTACACGATCTTATGTGATCTGGGTTTTCTTTTAGGCGGTGGCAACCAAGGCAACTATGGCGGCAACAATCAGGGCTTCAATAGCGGTGGCGGCAACAGCCGCAGATATTGAGGGAGAATACCAGACGAGGTGAGACACCATTATCTGTTTACTTAGTTATGGCTTACGAAAGTAAAGTAAAGTAAAGTGAAGTAAAGTCGGTCGATTAACAAGCAACCAACCAACAACTAATACTATCCAATCCATGGCCAATCAATCCATTAACCCTTCGTTTGATTCTACAAACGTGTATCTGTTCTTTTGTTTGTTTTTATCAACATAGCGAGTAGGCCTTTTAAATTATCGCCATTTCTTTGGTAGTTTGTAAAAGAATTTGGGACTGAAAACGCAAACCTGAAAACCAAGCAACATTTTGTTTTTCCTAAAACGAAACGAAACGAAACCACCAACCAAGCAATCAGCCGATGTATATGAACATTAATTAAGACTTGTATACTATTTTTATTTTATTTTGTAAACGTATTTAGCAAAGAAAACCAATACCAATACCATTACCATTACCAATACCAAAAACCAGCAATTAAGAATTCTCTTCGTATACAACCTGTTTTAAATAACGTTTCTCATTTATCGACATTTTATAGGTGATAAATTAGAAGTCGCTCAGTATAAACCCAAAAGTCACAGTCAAGTAAACGATACGCAATTCAATGAGTATGAAGAAGTATGAAGAAGTTTTCCGAGCACCACAAACCATACCAAAACATGACAGAGAAGAGAAGAGAGTAATCAGGATCAGTGCAGAGCAGAGAAGTGGATGAGGATGAGGCTGAGGAGAGGAGAGCAGAGCAGGAGAAGAGCAGTGCAGTTCAGAAAGAGAAAAGAATGAGATGAGATGAGAATGTGAGATCAGTGCAGCAGTACAAGTACCAGTACAGAGCAGAGCAGCAGTGTGTGTGCATCGATTGATTACAGAGGGCACAGATTGAATATCAGACAAGGCATTATTCAGAGAGAGTCGAGTCGAGTCGAGTCGCACACACACAGCATGCACACACACAACAACCAGCAGTACACGTACACAGCAGCTGGCCAGGATTCGATTCGATTCGATTCGCTTCGATTCACTAATGCTTATTGCACTTGATGATTGATTGATTACCTTCTATGAGACGCATCTAAACAATCCAATACCCCATAAAAATATATACTTACTTAAATTCAAACCATTTGTAGCAACAATGCAACAACAACAACAAGAACAACAACCAGTATAAGTAACATTGTAAATTAGATGAAAAGCGCGTACAAGCGAACATTTGTATATCCAATCCACACAATTTTTTACCATCTCTTTACCGTCTTTACCTTACCCATAAATGCAATCAGCTATGTAAAACTTCAAGGCGGCAGCCGAGAGGCCTCATTATTTGTACAATTTCGAGTATGTAGCAATCTGTGCTGTGGCCTGCCGCCAAACATTTCTGATAATCAGTGCGCAGAACACACACAAAACAAACTTATGAAAATATGTATTACATTTTACGACTTTCACTAGGCTTAAGTTGTCATAATCTTAAACGAGTAGAGTGTGCGTTGCGTTGCGGTGCGGTGCGGCGCGGCGGCAATGGCAATCCATCCTTCACAGCTGCCCCTGCCGCACGCCGCCTTAGCGTTAATTCACGTGTACGTTTACGAGTACCACACACCACATTCAGTTTCAAGCGAACTGCTGAACCGAACCGAACCCAACCTTAATCGTAACCCTAACCGTAACCGTAACCGTTCGGAGGAATATCTTAGCTTTCTTGTACGCATAAGTGACGACATGGAACTAACTTATCTCCAATGTTTAGTTTTAATCAAGCAACAATTAAATGTAATCTACCTTTTAGCAATCAGTCTGTATGCAGTTGTCGTCTGAGGTCAGCGCAATTATAATTAACGAAATTTTACACATTAATGTAGCGAAATACAAGATTCGAAAATACATAAGTATATACAGCAAATGAATGATGTAAATTCGAAAAGAAAAAACCCAAAAAAAAACAAAAAAAAACAAAAAAAAATAATGTTTAGCTAAAGATTTTTGTAGTTTTTGTGTATATATTTGAAACGTTGTAGCAGAGCAGCAGCGCGTCAGCAGAGCGAAGCAGAGATCTATCTATCTGAGCAGAAGTGTAAGTCTGAGAGTTGGAAAGTTGGATTGAAGGAGATTTCGAGAGATTCGAGGAAGGAGAAGAAAGGCAAGCAGCCAGCAAATTGTTAACGTAGCGTTCGTTGTCGGGCGGGCCATTTCACATCTACTTCATTTACTGCGACTTCTTGCTATTCACTCTATTTCAATCTGGTTTCAATATTTCGTTCGTTTATCACAATTTCACGCTCTTCCCACCCTTCCTGTAACATCATGACATTTACAACTATGTATTATTGTAATTTTTGTTGCAAGTTGGCTGAAAAGTAATGCGAAGCGCTGAAAAGACGGCCGCCCGCGCTACTAAGCAGCCACGGACCATCTCCACCCTTTGTTTGCAGTTCGATGATGGGGGATCCGGGATCCGGCCCATGGGGTAAGTCTCCTCCTTCCAAAACAGCACAAAAATTGTAATTTTCAGATTGGCTTCTGGGAATGTTCGTTCAACGCGCAGCCTCAGGAGGAAGGGAAGCTGTACGAGTTCGTTCCCCTCGAGGTGGCTGAAAGTATGACTAATTTTGTACGTATTTGAATATTTTTTTTGTTTTATTATTTTACCTTCCATAATAAAGAAGTACTGAAAATAAACATACACTTGTTTTAATATTATACACTTTTTGAATTTAAATAAAAAAGGCATTTCAATATTGCGCCTTACAGCACATTTTGCTATTTTGACGACGGTATATAATGTTATATTTTATCAATTTCATCAATCTATTAAATGTATATAGACATCCAATAAAAGCAAGTTTTTAGAATAGGCTAGACAAGTAGAAAATTGTTTCACGAATCGAATAAAACTATATGGGCATGGCTAAATGTTCTAGATAGCTAGTAATATTCAACGGAAGATCAAAATTTTGGACTCTTTTTTGTTTGACCATTTTCCCCAAAACCTTTTTTTTTTACGCCAAATGCAATAAAAGCGAGTATTTAAAATAAACCAGTCAATTAGAAAATGGGTTCCTTAATTGAATAAAATTATGTGGGCATGGCTAAATGTTCCATATAGCTAGTAATATTCCACGGAAGATCAAAATCGTGGAATATGTATAATAGAGATTGAGTTCATCAGTATATTTTTAAAATTGGACGGTATATTTTGGTATATTTCTGAGGGTCGGACGGTACATTTTAACGATAAGTCCGCGGTCACACTGACGTGCAAAATCAGCTGTTAGCCGCTCTAATTTTGTTTTTCCGGGGGCGTAAATTGACAATTTAATGTTTTGAACGGCTTCGAAAGCATTCCGACATGGACTCTACTGCCACACGTACTGTGACCTTTGTGTACAACTACAAGGACCATGAAAACAAAGACTGCGTAGCCCAGCTTGACATCAAATTCCCCTTCGACCAGGAGAATCTGGAGGAGTGTCTGACCCTGCTCCTCAACCAAATGGATCCCATGATGCGGTATCTGGACGAGAACATTAGTAGGTATTCCACGAAATTCAGCCAGAATTGTGTGATAGATCCCTGTTGTAGATTTGGAAAACCATCTGCAGGACTTTGTCGACACTGAGCACCAAAAGTTCCTGGACGACTACGCTGAGAAGCTAATCGGACAGGCGGCCAACGAAGAGCTCGACTTGGAGGCCATTGTGCGGGACACAGAGCGGCTGTATAAGGACGAGCTGCTGCAGTTTGCCGATCGTGTAGGCCCCAGGGACGAGGATATATTTGCGCAGAGTTTCCACCGGCTAGTGCACTCCTCTTCGTTGGAGGAAATCCTCAAACGGGAACGAGCCTACGCCAAAGTAATAGCCGGAATGACGGAGCACATGGACAGCGAGGTGGAGACGCTCAACACGAGCCAGCAGCAGGAGATGGACAGCCAGATCAATCAGCTGGACATAACCACCACCTCGGAGGACATCAACAACCTGCTGGCACAGCAGTACACCACCCAGAACTTTGTGCGCAAGCGCTACGAGTCGGAGCTGGAGGCGAAGATGGGTCACCAGAAGAACGAATACCGGGACTGGATCACGAGTCAAGTGAGCCAAATGTTTCAGGTCTCGCCGGTGGCCACGCCGCTGGGCAATCGCTCCTCGATGTTCGTGTCCCAGCAGCCGTCGATGGAGGAGAGCTTCACCATACATCTGGGCTCGCAGCTGAAGCACATGCACAACATCCGCATTCTCAGTGCCAACGTCACAGAACTATGCAGTCCCCTGCATGCCGAGGAGAGCTTAAATGGCCTGAACATGGCCCTGGGCCTCTATTCCAGCTCGCTGTGCGGTGTCGTCGTGCTAACGCCATCCATTCAGGCCGAGGCCAACAAGAATATCATTAAGAACGCCAACAGGTCCACAGAGTTTCACTTTGAGCAAATCGACGTTCAGCTGGAGAAGATCGAGAAGCAGATCCGCAGCCTCAGCACCACCGATTCGAACAGCACTCCGAGCACTGCCAGCAGCAACAGCAGTGCCGAGGGCAGCGCCACGCCCTCGCCCACCAAAAAGCACGTGCCCCGACTGAAAACAGGAGACTTCTTCATCACCAAGCACTCGAATTTGTCTCAATCCCATGTGATATTCCACCTGATCTCGGACGAGCCCATCAACAGTCCGAGCGAGATCAACTCCCGTCATCCGGTGATTTTGGGCCTGAGGAACATCCTGAAGACAGCCAGCAGACATGACATCACCACGCTGACGATACCGGCTCTCTTGCGCCACGAGATGAGCGAGGACATGACGGTGCAGTGGTGCATCAGGCGCGCGGAGCTGGTCTTCAAATGCGCCAAAGGATTCATGATTGAATCAGCGTCCTGGGGCGGCGCCGAGCTAAGGTCTGTGCTTTGTGTTAATCGATCGCCAGCCTCGCATTAATTGGTTTGTCCTTTTTGCAGCACTTTGCAATTGTTACTGCCGGATGACATATCGGAGAGTCTGTTCACCACGCTGGCGGGAATGGTGCCCAGCGTGTTTCATGTGGCCAATCCGAAGATACTCGTCGACACCAGCAGCAAGTCGTAGACTGCGTACGAGAGAACATTCCTCGAAGAACATTGAAGAAAAGACTACTTTAGTTTATTTGTATGAATATACAGTTTATTCAGATTCAGAGTTATATATTTATGTATATATATGTATGTATGTACCTATATATGCTTCGGTATTCGTCGCCACGCTCAAAAAGTTGTTTACTCGTAAATTTAACACACTCAGAATTCTTGTGTAAATGTTCCTGTATCAATTTTTGTCAATAATTCAATTGCAACCTTTTGTTTTTTGTTTCTCAATTTCCAAACTACAACACTACTGCTCGTACAATGTGTAAGTACATATGTGTGTAGGCATATAGTATATGTATATGCAGTTATGTGTTAGGTATAGGTATCATGTGTATATTACTTCCAAATGGTTTTTATCCTTTATCTTTGGTTTCTTAGACCCCTCACCATCTATCGCTGATGCATTGTCTGCCCGTGTGTTGTGTGTGTTGTCTGTCGTATGTGTTCGGTTATCTTTAATGATTATTATAATACGGTGTTTCACTGAATAACTCTGTTCTGTAACTTGTAAATATGCATTTTTGAAATATATATGTATATATATAATATGTATTTATATCTAAACAACTGTGTTCTGCGGTATATTACTATATTTGAAGGTTCTTCGTTAACAATTAATTAGGTTTCCATCGTCAATGCTGTGTTCTGTTGTGTGTTCGCTGTTTAACTTTTGTGGTTTATTTGGTGTTTAGCCAAGTACGTTGTCTGCGGTGTGTATCGTTTGTTTCGCTGCTTTGCAGTAATGGGAGTATAGGCTCAGAAAATAGTATTCCATAGAGGGTATTCCATAATGCGTATTTCGTTTGTTCGTTCGGCTTACGAGGGGTTTGGTTTACATAAAATTAGTGACGAGTGTTTTAGGTACAGGAACGGACCGCATTGAGTGTTTTTCTTTTGTCTGCGAGCGAATATCGATATCGCTTGGGTTGTGGGCTTCAAGGAATTGACATAAGCAGCATAAATCATTAGTGTTTAAATAAATTACATGGCTATAGCCGTTTGCCGTTTGCTTATAGATGAGCATTGGAGCCCCACAATCCTGGGGCTTGAGACAGCGTAAATTATATTAAACTCGAACTATAATTTATTGCTTCTGTTTGTTAATGTTAATAAATACTTTAAAATTACATCCTGGGCACAGGGCTGTGCTCCGCCAGTATACATTCGTGTCGTGGTGTCGTGTCTCTATTTGAATTTGAATTTCGATTGATTTCTTGCCTACATTGAAGAAAAAAGTCCACTACGAGTTACAAGTTGCATGCCAAAAGGGTGGTTATGATGAAATATCGTATTCTATATATTGTATGTAAGGTTCTTTAGCTTGATACTCGGCGCATGCCTTAGACTACGTTCTGTATGGATAGTATATGCCTACATATATTTTAGTTAAATCAGAATACAGATTAAAAGTTTACTAAAATTGAAACTATCACAAAAAAACCAAATACTTTATCAAAAGTACGATACAAATGAAATAAATTAGAATTAGAACTTTGAAGATTGAGTATGTTCGTCCGGCAGGGAGGACTGCTTCCCCCATTACATTTGGCTCTCCTTGCGCCACTGGAAGGTGCCCGACTTGACGCCAATGCTGGAGGAGCCCTGGTTGCTGCTGGAGGAGAGTATGTTGTTGGTGCGGCGGATGAGCTGGGAGGCGGCATCGAAGCGGCTGCGTATGAGCCTCATTGCCGGATTGCTGGACACACCACTGCGCTTGCTCTTGCTGTTTTCGGGAGACACAAAAAGGATTAGTTTTCGTTGTTGAGGATTGCTTGTACGTCCCTCGACTTACCCAGAGGAACTGGGCTGGTTTTCCTTGAGATTTCCCAGTATGATGCGCATGTGCGTGTCTCGGGCAAAATGATTGTCCGGCAGGGAGGCCTTGGCTGCGCCACTGCTCGTGCCGGCTCTGTCGTCATCCACGAATGCATTCAGCCCCGGCAGCTGGCCGGGGGAGCTCAGTTCGCTGCTGGGCGAATGCGGTGGCGTGGCATACAGCGGCGACATGCACTCCATGTCGTACATGTCCGCCTCATTGGTCATATTGGAAGCTATTCGCAGATTAAAGAATGAAATTCGTTTTGCGGTTTCTGTGGTTCTGATATTCTTACCGAGCTGATGCTCGCTGAGATCGGGCAGCATCTGTGAATGCCGCTGGCCACCGCCGCCGCCGCCGCCTCCGCCACTGGACTTGTGACCCGATCCAGAGGCATGCTTCGAATTGACCATCAGATTGTTCCGCGAGCTCAGTTTGCTCTGTCGCTGCAATTGCTGTGTGAAGGTAAGCGGCGCCTGCTGCAACGAACAAAACCCATTAGATTCGAAGGCCGATCGCCGATGGGCCACCTGGCCTGTACTCACATCATTGCTGCTGCCCGTGGACTGACTAGAGATGACGCTCTTGCGCTTGTGCAAACTGCTCGTGTCCGACTGCATGGTGTTCTGGTAGAAGTTGTTCGAGCTGTGCGTGGAACTGGAGGCGTTGAGCACGTGCAGCTGGCTGCCGTTGTGCACCGTCGCCGTGGTGGCCGCCGAGCAGACCGACGAGGCGGAAGCGTGGGCCGGATAGGGGGCCAGGTTCTGGTGCAGGGGCAGTGCCGGCGGCTGGTCCGGGGAGCGCAGCATGCTGGCGTGGGCATGGAACTTGGGTTCGTTGGGATTACTAGCATCGTCTAGGGGCGGTAGGGAGAGGTGAGGAGGGGCAAAGCATTAGTAACAGAGCAAAAGGATGCTCCTGCGTTTGGTCTTACTTTTGGTGTAGCTCTCGAAGATCTTGAGGATGCTGGTGCGACTCGACTTGGCCGCCAGCTTGATTGGCGTGCGCCCGCAGTGGTCCGACTTGTAAGGATTGGCGCCGAACTGCAACAGAGCGATGACGCACTTCTCGTGCCCCTCCTGGGCGGAGATGCCCAGGGCGGTGGCCCCCTGCTTGCAGGCGTGATCCGCCAGGGCGCCGTAGTAGAGGAGGATGCTCATCACGTCGTGGTTGCCCTGCCAGGCGCACGAGTGCAGGGGCGAGCGCGCCTCCAGGTCCATGGAGTTGACATCGGCCCCGGCCTCGATCAGGGTCTTGACCATGTCCGCGTGCCCCTGCCAGGAGGCCACGTGGAGGGCCGTGCGGCCCTCGCTGTCCGGAATGTTCACATCCACATTGGTCATGTCCAGCAGGTACTTGACGATCTCCAGCTTGTTCTCCAGCGCCAGGATGTACAGCGTGGTGCGCGAGTCGGCGTCCTTCGAGTTGACGTCGCAGCAGAACTTGAGCAGAAACTCCACCGTCTCCATGTGCCCCTCGAGGCAGGCCAGCCGGAAGGCGGTCTTGCCGTCGTGCGCCTTCTGGTCGACGAAGCTGGAGTGGATGTCCAGCAGGGCCTGGACGCAGTTGAGGCGCCCCTCCTGGGCGGCCAGGTGGAGGGCCGTCTTGCCCTCGTTGTCGCACTCGTCGATCTTCGCCCCCGACTCGAGCAGCTGCATGCACACCTCGTGGAAGCCCTCGAAGGCGGCGTAGTGGAGCGGCGTCCAGCCCGCGTTGTCGCGATGCGTCTCGTCGAGGCCGCGGTCGAGCAGCTGCCGCACCGTCTCCACGTTCCCCTGGGCGGCCCCAATGCTCAGCACCGTGCGGCCCTCGGAGTCCATGCAGTCGATGCCGCATCCCCAGAACAGCAGCAGCTTCACCACCGTGGCATGCCCCGCCGTGCAGGCGGCCCACAGGGGCGTGCGTCCCATGAAGTCGGCCAGGTCCGGGTCGGCGCCGTTCTCCAGCAGCAGCTCGCAGACCTCGGCGTTGCCCTCGAAGGAGCTGACCAGCAGAGGCGACATGCCGTCGTTGTCCAGCTGATCCGTGTTCGCCCCGTGGTCCAGCAGCGTGGAGATCACCTTGCTGTAGCCCGAGGAGCCGCACAGGGCGGCCACGCACAGAGCACTGCGTCCGTCCAGATCCAGGTGGTTGACATTCGCCCCGTTCTCGAGGAGGATCTCCACGATGTCGTAGTGGCCCATGTAGGAGGCGGCAATCAGGGACGTGCGACCCTGGCGATCCACCGAGTTGACATCCGCTCCCGACTCGATCAGCAGCTTGAGGATGTCCTCGTGCCCGCTCCAGGCGGCGGCCCTCAGGGCAGTGCGCCCCTCCTTGTCGGCGAGATCTATTTTGCAGGCCGGCTGGGAGATCAGAAGCCGCACCACGTCGCTGTGGCCGCCCCAGGAGGCGGACCGCAACGGGGTCCAGCCGTCGCGATCCGCATGGTTGACGTCGACGCGCTTCATCCTGCCTGTGCCGTCGTTGCAGGGCTGCGAGAAGCTCAGGAGGAGCTTCACCACCTCCAGGTGGCCGTTCCTGGCGGCGATATTGAGCGCCGTCTGGCCATTGTAGTCCTCGATCTCCAGGTCTATGGGACTCTTGCAGGCGTTGAGGGCCCGCTCCAGCAGCTGGTGGTTGCCGTCGTTGGCCAGGATGTGGATCAGGGCCTTGCCCTTGTGCAGTTCGATGTGGTGCGAGTCGGAGAGCTGGTGCAGCGTGCTGGACGCGTTGTCGTCCTGGCTCTCGTGCGGCGGCTCGCTGTGCTCCGAGGGGCTGCCCGCCCGCTGGGTCTCCAGCAGGCAGCTCTTCTCGCTGGAGAGCAGCAGGTCGGCCAGCTCGAAGTCGATGTTCTGCGACTTCTCCGACAGCTCGGGCGACATCAGCGAGGACTCGCAGGAGTTCTGCGCCTCGGCGTTGTTGATGCCCGTCTCGATGAGCAGCTTCAGCATCTTGGCGTCCGTCGGCAGGCTGGGCTTGAAGAAGTCGCACAGGAACTGGGCGAACGGCTCGCTCAGGTCGTTGGCCAGGAACCGCTCGAGCATGGCGCGGGTCTTGGGCAGGAAGTTGCCGTCGTACTTGAAGTCGTGCTCGCACTGGGCGCAGCAGTTCATCTGGTTCGTGTAGAAGCAGTCGCTCAGGTTGAGCCGCGACTCCAGCAGCATCAGAATGAGGTCCATGTCCACGTGGCGGCTGGCCAGGCACTCGCCCGCCTTGATCAGATGGTAGGCGAAGCGGCGCACCGTGTTGGCGCA